CCCCAGAGGTGGGCGTGTCTCAGCGCCGGGCGAGGGGTCCATGGGTAACCGGCCGCCCTGCCCCAGAGGTGGGCGCGTCTCAGCGCCGGGCGAGGACTCAGCTGTCCCTCTCCCTCCCCCCCCCCCCCCCGCACCGCAGACTGATTGACGCTCTGGGGGCCGCGTTCGGGCTCCTGGCCCGGGAGACGCAGATGAAGATGGCGATCCTGGAGGGACACCGCTCGGGGCCGCACGCCCCTCACTACCGCACCCTGCAGGCCATGGTGGCCTTTGAGCTGCGGCGCGGCCGGGTGGGGCTCCGGGTGCTGCCCCCGGACCAGCCCCCCTCGGGGAGCCGGACCCTGCTGCGCCTCCACCGGGCCCTCAAGTGGCTGGAGCTGTTCCTGGGCAAGCTGGGCCGCAGTGGGGCGGAGGAAGACCCCTCCCAGCTGTGCGCCGAGGCCTACCAGGCGGCCCTGGCCCGGTACCATGGCTGGTGGGTGCGGCAGGCGGCCGGGCTGGCCTTCCTGGCCCTGCCCTCGCGCCGGGAGCTGTACGGGCTCGTCTGCGCCGAGGGGGAGAAGGAGGCCCGGGCTGTGCTCCTGGATGCCGTCGGCACCATCTCCAGGGTGTATAACATCACCCAGCAGCTCTACGCCACCCGCGGCCTCTTGGAGCTGCCCTGAGCGACGCCGGGGGGCGCCGGAGAGGACAAGTTGGGGGGCACTCGGTCTGCTCAGCCTTAGGGCAGGGACTGGCTGGCTCAGGGGGGCAGGGAATGAGGCAGGGGCCTGTCCCATCTAGGGGGCGCCGGCTCCCACCCGGCCCCAGGGCGGGGACTGGCTGGCTCAGGGGGGCAGGGAATGGGGCAGGGGCCTGTCCCCTCTAGGGCAGGGCGTTGGGCGCGGTTGTGAACCAGTGGCCCCGGAAACGGGGGCCAAGTAAAGAGATGTCCCGAGCTTGACGTGGTCGCCGGAGTCTTTTGTCGCAAGATGTGTTTTGCCGCCCGGCTGGGCTGGTCTCTGGGCCTCTTTGAGGGGAGGATCCCGTAGGGGTTGCACCCCCCCGGTAATGTGGGACAGCGCCACCAGGATCAGCGCCTGGCCCCTGCCGGGGGTGCATGGGGTGGGTCTCAGTGCGGCCGTGTGACCCCTGTGGGCAGCTCCCCTCCGGGCGTGGGGCGCAGCGTGGGCAGGGTAAGGGTGGTGCGGGCCGTAGGGCAGGGGTTTGAGACACACAGGGTGGGGCCGGGGGTGGGGCCATGGGGCAGGGGTGGGGGACACACAGGGCGGGGGCGGGGCCATGGGACAGGGGGGGGGGGGGGGCAGGGGGGGGGGGGGGGTCGGCCGGGGCTGGCCGGATGCTAGGGAGGTGGGTGGTGACATCACACGTGATGTGATGATGTCACACCCAGCCCTGCTGACATCACAGCCCCAGGCCGTGACATCACGGCCACGCCAGGCACAGGAAGTGATGTCACCCTGCTCCCTGGTGACATCACTGTGATACAACATGCGAGATGTGATGTCATCATGACACGTGGAGAGGTGCTTGGTGACGTCAGAGATTCAAGCGATGACGTCAGAACGATTGGCGACGGTGCGCCGGGCTCGCGCGGTGGCCACTCTGCCGTAAAGTGGACCCGGCGGGCGTCGCAAAGGGGTATTGGACCCAGTGCCGTAAAGCAAGGCCAGAGCACGTCCCAATAGGGATGGCGGCCGCGCCGCCGTAAAGCGACATCGACTTGTGTGTCGTAAAGCCACGGGCCGCTGTAGAGCGAAGGGCCGGGGTCGACAGGGCGAGCGCGGAATCCGCCACACCGCCGTAAAGCGCGACGCGGGCGGCTGCCGTAAAACGGCCACCCGCGAGGGCTGAGCGTTGCCGTAAAGCGTCGCCGTCCGCCCCCCCCCCCCCCCGCGCACAGAAAGCGCCTTCTCACCTCGCCGTCAAGCGAGGTCGGGGGCCGAACGGGGTGTCGCAAAAACGCCTCGCTATCCCCCCGCGCGCGGCGGCCGGGTTTTGCGACAGTGTCGCGCGGTGCTGGGGGACGGATGGCGACGGCAACGGCGCTGGCGGGGTCCGGGGTCCGGGTCGGGCCCGCGGGGGGG